TCTTCCCTTCTAGGACTGAAGACCTGAGGTGTTATGGTTTTTTACCCTGTATACTTATACTGTCCCTGCAGTGTTCAAATACCTCTCCTTTGAGAGGGAGAACAATATTAACAGATCCCAATACAAACAATATACAACCTTAAACCAAATAGCTGCTATTAAGATGTTTATGGTTTTGTCACAATATACATAAATGGAGAACTCAATTATTATCTACAATATAAACAGTAGGTTTGCAAAAGGGTCTACCTTTTCTGATTGTGGACAAAGAACCAGGGGTGAGGTGTAAGATGGGATGTTGAGGGGGTTGGAGGTGAGAATATAGTTATTAGATCTTAGGAATCATGAAAAGAGGAATCTAAAGAAATTGGTTAATTGCAGGAGAAAAGAGTATGTGATTTGGGAGAAACATGTAAGTGGGAAGACAATAGAGAGAGTACAGAAAACAAATAAACATAATATTTAAGAAAAATAAAAAGTCTAAAAATAGAAGATAAAAGAATATACAACATAACTGTAAGATACTATTCAGACATCCTGGTCCTTAGTAGCCTAATTCATGAAAAGTACTTAGTTTCACAATGTTGATGGGGATGTGAGGGCAGAAGAGAGAGACAAAAGAGAAAAAAAACTCTCAAATAAAGATATAAGGATTGTTTTTGTTGGAGATCAGTATCTTTCCTGCTTCCATTCTCTTCCAGTAGGAGGAGTTGTCTGTTGTTTGCTGGTGTTTCCACCCTCAGGATGGTGAAGGGTTATTAGGATGGGAGAGTTGGTCTTGGGGTGGGGCTCTTGGAGATGGGGTATAGCACTTGCCAGTTCTTGATGTGAGACTGAACCCCAAGGATCTCCTTTGAGCCCCACTCGTGTGATGTTGACCCTGGTTTTATCTACTTATATTGCCTGTAGACCTCACAATTCCTGTTCTCTAATTTAGCCTCTAAACTGTGTTTCACTCATCACCTCCCTTTGTACTTCCTATTCACTCATCACCTCCCTTTCTACTTCCTAATCAGGAACCTTTTTCTCTGGAGTTTTTGAGGGCTGCACTCTGGGGGTACATATCTTTTGCTGAGAGCTGTTTTGTATTAGGCTGTTCCCTGCCAGGCTTTGCGATCTATGGACTGGCTATGTAGCCCCAAGCACTATGCTGGCTTACTGGTTGCCGGGGAGAGGGGGGAGTTGGGGACTTTAGGTACCTTGATTTTCCTTTAAACCACAGCCAGTGTCCCAAAGTGGGAATAGCCCCAACTAAATACAATGACAAAGGTGTCCCAAGATGGAGGTGGCTGCTTTCAGTCTTGAGGTGTCAGGTCAGGTGTGGCGGGGCAGTGGCGTTGGGTGGCATATTCAGAGATGCAGCTCTGTGGCATGCAGTGTTGTGGCTGGCTGTCTCCAGACCCTGTAGGGTGTCTCCAGATGCAAGCTACTGCATGTAGGGGATGGTGGAAGTAGTTGCAATATCCCAAAATGGAAGCAACCGGGAGAGCCCCACATTGGTAGATGGGGGTACACATGGGAGTTGCGGCTGGAGATTCTGCATGTGGGCAGTGGCTTGGTGTCCTACATAGGAGCAGCAGCCAGGATTCCCATATGGGTGGTTGGCCAGGAGTCCTGCGTAGGTGGTGATGCCAGTGGTCCTGCTTGGGCACCTAGAAATTCTGTGTGGACAAGTGGCTGGGAGTCCTGTGCTAAAACTGAGGCTGGGGGACCTGTATGGAGAAAGAGACTGGGATTCTTGCATGGGAGCAGCTGTTGGGGGTCCTCTAATTATTAGCAGAGAAACAGTATTCCCACTAGTTGAATCCCAGGTCACAGAGTGACATAGAATGTAGCCTCCCTCTAGCCTTCCACATTGGAATAGTGCATCGGTTTACTTATTTATTTATTTTTAAGTGTTTAATAGATTTCACAAGCTCAAATGCAACAGTGATTTACACAGGAAGTTTGTTTGAGTCATGATATTTTCAACTGTTAAAAAATTTAAATAGGATAAGATTGATTTAAGTCTAAAATAATTTTTTTAAAGAGAAAAAGAGAGAGAGAGAGAATTTTTTAATATTAATTTTTTTTAGTTTTCGGCGGACACAACATCTTTGTTTGTATGTGGTGCTGAGGATCGAACCCGGGCCGCATGTATGCCAGGCGAGTGTGCTACCACTTGAGCCACATCCCCAGCCCCTAAAATAATTTTTAAATGCTGTGAATTCCAGAGCAACAACCAAGAATTTCGCAATGAGGACTGGAAGGAATAAGGTATTCCATAAAACCAAAATCTTATTAAGAAAATGTAGAGAGTCTAGTTGATTAGTAGGCATTAAACATCAGTGACAAGAAATCAAGAACCAAAGTGCTTGTGTCACATGGGTATTTCAAATTTTATTACTTTTTTTTAAATTAACTACCTCAGCATAGGTGCTTTGAGACATTTTACAAATACAAAAATTACATAAATGTCTCTGTAGTGAAGAAGGTTTTGATTTCTTTGAAACTCTAGATGTATGTATTTGAAAAGATAGTGATATTTTTAATACCATTTGTGAGTAAATGACAAAACATTTGGTACATTGAGTAGGTACTGTGAGATTCTGAGGTGGTGGGGAGAAGATATCTGTGTAGGCCAGAATAGTCAGCTAAACAACCATATATATTCTAGGGATGATTGGTTTGAGAGTAATAAACCTTACAGACACCTAGAGATAATAGGCTTTAGACTGATATTCTTGGTTGGAAATTGATCTCAGCTACTTATTATGTGACTTGGACAAGTCACTTGGCTTGACTACCATTTCATGAATGCCTGTTTTATCTACGCATTATTACATTCTTTATCCACATTACCTTTAAGTTGTTATTAATCAGTTATAATCCTTCCTAAGAGAGTGACATTTAATCAAAGTCATGAATTAAGTAAGGAACAGGAACTAACCAGGGTAATATCCATGTGGATTCATTGCAAGGATTTTTAAATTTTCAACTGATACATAAAAATTATACATATTAAAGAGGTAACTGTAATGTTTTGACATGTGTGCATCCTATGATGTTTAAATCAGATGAAACATGTCTATCTTCTCATTTCTTCATGATGAAATTCTTCATTTCTTTGTCACTTCTTTATGATGAGAACTTTCAAAATCCTTTCTTCTAGCCTTTTGAAATATAGAGTACATTATTGTCATTTGTAATTACCTTGATATATGATAGCAAACCGAAACTTCTTTTTCCTGTGTAACTGTAACATGGTACCTATTAATCAACCTTTCCCCATCTTTCTCTCCTACTTTCCTCTCAGCTGAAACTCTGGTAACCTCCCTTCTCTCAATTTCTATGAGGTCAGCTTTTTAGATTCCACGTGTAAATGAGATTCTATAGTACTTGTCTTGCTGTCCTAGCTTATTTCACTTAACATGGTGCTCCATCCATGTTGTCACAAATGATAGGATTGCATTCTTTTTATGGCTGAATATTACTCCATTATTTATATGTATTTTTTCCACATTCATTAAACAGGTGATGAATGCTTAGGTTATTTCCATTTCTTTATTGTGAATAGTGCTTCAGTAAACACAAGAGTGCAGATGTCTCTTCAGTATACTCTTATTTCCTTGGTATTTATGCCCAGACAAAATCTGCATCATTGCTGTACATCAGTAGCCAGTTATCTGAAGTAGAAATCAAGAATGCAATCTTAATTAAAATAGCTGACAAAAAAAATACGCAGGAATAAATTTAAAGAGGTAAAAGGTCTCTACAAAGACAAGTATAAAATGGTGATACAGGTATTGCAAGGAATCCCATCATCTGTATTTTAAAAGAATCACACTGGCTGCAATATTGAAAATGAATTTTAAAAGAGAAGGGGTGGAAGCAGGAAAAGGAATTAAGATATTGACATAAGAGATAATGGTAACTCAGCAGTGGCTCAGGAAGCTGAGGCAGGAAGATCATGAGTTCAAAGCCAACCTCAGCAACATTGAGGCACTAAGCAACCCAGTGAGACCCTATCTCTAAATAAAATACAAAAACAAAAACAAAAAAAGGGCTGGGGATGTGGCTCAGTGGTTGAGTGCCCCTGAGTTCAATCCTTAGTAACAACCTCCACCCCCACCTGCACCACCAAAAAAAAAAGATAATGGTGACTCAGACCAGGGTATTAGTAGTGGCAATGATGAGGAATAATCACATTAAGCATAGTGAAAATTGGGTATGGAATGTGAGGAATATGGAACAAGAATAAAGCATGACTTCACTTTCCATCTTTTAATCTTATCAAGAAATTTGAATAGAAATATTTTTGCCCTTATTTATGAACTAGGGAAATGAACACAAGATCTTAAGAATTTACTTAACTTACTAAAACCATCCAGCTAGAATACAGATGAGATTTCAAACCCAGATATGTTTTGACTTCAAAATCCATATTTTTTCTACTATATCAATAGTATAAAATATCTAGTACAATGCCTACAGTTTATCATGCACTCAATGAATTTTACTTTTTGTTATTTTCTTTTCACTAAAATTCTTAAAAAGCATTTCTAAGCAGATAAAAGTAGTTCATAGGCATTGTAAATTTACTAAATATATGGTTATAAGAATAAATTTATTTTCCCAATTGCATACACTTCACAATTTTGGTACCCATGGAAGTTTTTTTTTTTTTTAAAGAGATAATCATCCATTGACATTTGTAGGCTTTTTCACATAGATTTCTAAACTTATAACCTTACTAACATTAATATATCTAGTCTGCTTGGAGATTTCATTTTATATGTTTATGCTTAACCCAGGGGAATTAAATATATTTGTGTAATATTTACATGTGTGTGTGTGTGTGTGTGTATAAGTTTCATTAGGCAAGACATTTTTTTAAAGCATTTTAAATGATGAAATCCTTGAAAGAAGTATTTTGTACAAAATCAAAGTAATTGCTCTAGATCTAAGTATGGAACATTAAGAGATCACATCTTTTTTTTTTTTTTTCTTTTTACTTTTAGGTGTAAAAGGCTTAATCTCCAACTCTTAGCTTACCTTTGGCAAAGGAACCAGGAAGATTTGCTCCGAGAGATGATAGCATCTAACATTCAAGCAGTGATCATCAAAGTAGCAGCTTTGGGTACGTAACTAAACTCTAAAAGAGGACTGTTAACACATAGATAATCTTAGTTCACTAATAAGCAGTTACAATGAAAAACTAAGAATGATTTAGAATATAAAAATTGGGCTGGGGATGTGGCTCAAGCTGTAGCACGCTTGCCTGGCATGTGTGCGATCCGGGTTCGATCCTCAGCACCACATACAAACAAAGATGTTGTGTCCGCCGAAAACTAAAAAATAAATATTAAAATTCTCTCTCTCTCTCTCTCTCTCTCTCTCTCTCTCTCTCTAAAAAAAAAAGTAGAATATAAAAATTTATAGTCACAAGTTAAAAAAAAATAAACACCTTTTGTTGTAAAGAATAGAAAGTTTTAATATAGGATTTTGAACATTTGCCAAAGTGATGAAAAGTGAGCTTCTTTTTTTGAATGTATAAGGAATTCTAAAACTGATATTGTATTATGTTTCTTTTTTTTTTTAAATCGTTATAGGATTTGGAACTCAGATTTGTAGGAAACAGGAAATACAGGGATCCTTGAGATTTTTTGTTTTTAAAAGATTCTAAAAATATGTATTTGGTACAACACATGATATTCCTCTTACATTTTTAACATATTTTGAATAATACTAAAATTAGAATGATGTATTTTGTGTTATCAGAAATAAACATGGTAGTGGGTTTTTGTTGGGGATGGTGAGAAAATCATGTTTGAGGGAATGTTATTTGATTATTTAACATAGACATAGCAGGCAGGTACTAATCTGATTCAAATGTGGATGTTGTATATGAACATGTTAATTTGTTATTTTGAATTTTTATAAATATGTTGATTTTTGAGAAACTATAGGGTTGATCCCAGTGCATTTGTTTTATTAACTTATTATAGAAAATGCCCTGAAGCCTCAGGATTCCCAAAGCCTACTCATGTAAATGTTTACCTTGATGATCTCTGAAATAAAGAGGTCTCAAGCTGTGGAAGACTTTATAAATAAATTCACATTTCAAACAACATCAAAGAAAGGTAAAGACTGCAGACATTAGCATTGCTAACATTTTCCTGGTTAGTATTTGCCTTCCCAAAGTTAACAAGTTTCTCAATATTTGATACGTGATTTTTCCTGTTTTTTAATTTTAGAAAAAAAAAATTTGGTTTTGTAGTACAGGGAATTGAACTATTTGCCAATGTTCTACAACTGAGCAATACTCTAACCCTGTTTTTGAATTTCATACTAATGAATTATACTGTGTATTCTCTATTATGTCTGGCTTCTTTGGCTCAATATTATGTTTATGAGGTTTATTTGTATCATTGAATGATGAAATAAATAATCTTTATCCCTTCTGTTCTTCATTTTTCTTCCACAATGAAAATCTTGATTCTTAAGAACAGATGATATGATATTTTTTACAAAATCTAATAATATTTGAAACAAAGAGACAAGAAAACAGGTCTGCAATCTATTTTTTCTAGTAATTAGAGTACACGTTGGAAAGCAAGAAGGAAGAACTCATACTATTTCCTCATAAACACATCACTTACAGACTTTATGGCAAAAAAAACTTAGCAAAAAATTATCATATTTATCACAGGGGAAGACTTTTATCTTTGGACTGCTTGTAGTAGTCTTGTTGCTAAAACAGAGAAAGAGAGAGATAACAGAAAAAGCTTTAAGTCTACTTTATTGTCACTGGAAGACCTTCTTGAAAGATATATTTGTTAGCAAAGTAAATAAATTGATCACTAGAAAAATCATACAAGTTAAGGGTGAGCTTAATCAGTTAAATGATTTTCTGTTAATATTAACTATGAAAGAGAGTAATAACAGGACTCTACTGGTAAGGTTTCTGCGATTGGGAGGTAGGAATATGGGGAATATAGGGAAGGATGAAAGAACATAATTTTATGTCTCACAATTTTGCAAAATTTTTGTTTTGCCTGATTTACTGGACCTAAATCTGAGTTCAAAGTTGCATGTACCAAATAGTGGAAAATATTATCTTAACACAAAATATAATATCAATAACATTAAATTTGATAGTATATATTTTCTTTTTTTCTCCCCCCACCCCACATCAAACAGGCAGTGTACCAACACTATAACAAGGTTTGAGGGAGGCAATCTAACACAATGGTGTAAAACCCCCAAACCCAATCATCACCCTTATGAACATGCAAAAGGATTTACAGCACATATTCCTAAAGGTTCTTAGGGGTATACATAACTTAATTCCATTTAGGCAAATTAAGACCTCTCTAAACACAAAAACAAGTGTCCTATCAAACCCTGTAATTTCTGCCAAAAAGTGTTACCAAGTCTGCTATTTTTATCACCCCTATGGGTTCATAATACATCTACTGAACCAGAAAGCCTAATTTTAGAGAAAAGGGTATGTATCAAAATAGATAATAAATGGGGTTGAGGGGAATTATAAAAGATGAGTGGAAAGGCACTTTAATTAAAGTTCTATGGAAGGGCTGTGGCTGTGGCTCTGTGGTAGAGCGCTCGCCCAGCATGTGTGAGGCACTGGGTTCAATCCTCAGCACCACAAACAAAAATAAGTAAACAAAATAAAGGTATTGTAAAAAAGAAATTATTCAAAAAAAAAGTTTTAAGGAGAGATATAATCATGTGATACCCATACCAGAGCCTCCAAGCTTGGAGATACTCTTAGGTATCCCTTACAGATCTTAACTAATATTAATAAAACACTTTGGGTCTGTTTTTTCTAGAGAAGGGAAATAGGTGATGTAGAAGCTCCACCTAAAAAGATTCCACCTGGATAACAAAATGGCAGTACTGCTTAATAATTTGACTGTATTAGGTTAGTTCACTGTAGGTAGTTTAGCGCTCATAGTAACTACTCAGTTCTTGATTCATAGACTATATTTACTATTCTGATCATTTTTCTGATAACTACTGTGAATGGATTATCTAAGTGCGGAATACCAAATAGTAGAGTTTTTACACTCTTTGTGAGAATAATCAAAACAATGTCACTAAGACATCTACCTAGTTAGAATAAAAGGTAAATTTCTGCTGTCTACCATTGTGTGATCTCCTTCAAATAGGATATATAAATGTGAATGGAATTCAGTTTTCATTTAAGAAAATTAGAAGATCACCCTTGAGGGATAGATTTGGATATGGCTTAATGAATAGACATTACTAATAACTCCTCTATGGAGTTGTGCAAAATATGTTTATGGAAAAACCTATGATATCCAAGCAAAGTTATATTCCATATACCAAATGGCAATCTTTGGAACATATTTTTTAGGGGTATGTGTATAAAAACTGTTTTCCTAAATTGCATAAATTTTACTAGTATATTGTGGTAATAACGCATGGAGTGGCTTAACCAATGTCTTCCCTGCTGTCTGATATTCTGTAGAAATTTTTGGTACTAGTCTTGGGGATTCGAGTACTACATCAGAACAAATCAATGTTCTTTTGAAAGCTCATCATGATGAAAAAGACTTACTCATTCAAACAGAAACACTAGAGGGAGCTCTCTTCCAGAGACTGGCCACATTTGGAGATGACCCTAGAGGGACATGAAAGCTTTAAATGACTACACTAATAGAATATTTACTTAAATGGGACATCATATCACTCAACAGTTCAAGAAGAGGGATATTATCCTTACCCAGGGAAGACTATTGAATATTCTAATCACTGGGGAAATTATTAAATAATGATGGCTGAGAGTCTGGCCGGAACCAAACAAGGATACCCACTTACGGAAATACTATAGTTAGCCTAAATTATGGTTGGAAATTACTGGACAGTGTGGCCTTAATAGTTGTTCACGAATGGTTCAGGTATTATTGTTAAAAAAAGAATTTGTCCTCATGAAACACTGATCAAAATTGGACAAGACCAAAGGAAGAGCATTTATTGTCTTGAAGGGAGCTTGTTGGCACAATGGCATCTAGACACCAATAACTGTTAAAACCTATACTGTGATATCTGGTATATAGTTATATCCTCAAACAAGATGAGATCTAGAATTTATTGATAATGATAATCTCTGGGCACTATGCACGGCACTGTGAATGTGAAGTGCGAAATGGAGAATGGTGCTGTAATTCTAATTGAATGTATGGGCTAATATTAGCAAGAATATAGGCAATGTGGTAGAGAAGGTCCTGTAGAGCTCTTCTGATTGTCCTGAATCTCTGCCTGTTTTGCTGTGTTGTTTGATTACTTCTATTCTTGGAATTCTCATAAATGTTAATACTATATAAATTCTCTGATTTTCTCTGAGTTATTATTTGACAATCTAATATTTTGGCTTAACTCAATTTCTTCTTCATTTTGTATTGCATTACATATGTGGGTTTGTGGGGAAAATATTTTAATGTTTTCGAAGTTAGCACTTTCTGAGTAAATTTTACAGAAACTTTGGATCCAGACTAAAACTGCAACCTTTAGAACTTAATAGATGATTGAATAGATATTGGGAACATCAAAGAGTTTACCTCTAGCAACATGTGTTTACATTTCAAGTCAGGGATGAAATCAGAATCTTGGAGACATCTCCAGAGTTGTAAAGCTGGATTCACTGTTTTTTTGCCCACCCATCCCCACCAAATATTTATTTACATTCCAAATGTGAAGGCACAGTCCTTCTCCTTACTTTTAAAGAAAATTATCTCCAAAGGGAACAGGGACTCCTTACAAAGTGTAAAATAAATTATTTACAAGACTTTATCTCATCCTCATTACTTCAGTCCTGGGGTAAGGACAAGGAAAGAAAAAAGTCGGGATATTATTACTTACTATTTGTAAGAGATAGAAATAATAATTTTCCTCTTTCTTATCATAGCTATCCTAGTAATGTAAAGTTATACTCATCATGGTTTTATTTTGGATTTTGCTAATGACTAATGATGTTGAGCATCTCCTCATGTACTTATTGCCATTTGTATGTCATCTTTGCAGTAGTGACAATTCCAGTCTTTCACCATTGTGTAAAATTGAATTGTTTTTTTACTCCTGTATTCAGTTGAAATA